CCTACAAATTCGGAACTTTAGCTGCTTTGGTGAAAACCCTAGAATTTATCCGGTTGAGATTTAGCTAAAATCACTAGAATCACGATGAACTTAAAGTTTTGACTTGAACCGGGATAGATAGCCGGTTGAGTAGAGAACCCTAGTTTGGCCTTTTTCGGTCAGTCCGGATGAACTCTAGATCCGAGTAGAAAAGTTGTGTGTCGGCTGATGTCGTGTCCGTGCGTATGCACCCGGACCACGATTAAGTCGAGTTGCACCCAGTCAAATAAATAAGATCAGATCAGTCAGATAAGTTAGATTAGATAAATCAGATAAGCAGACCAGACTTGGAAATATTTCAGAGAACTCTAGAACGCCTCAAGTCAACAAATCTTTTCAGAATAGCTCAAAGCATCTAAATCCAGATTAAATGATATTTTAATCGAGCGAGAGAACCGAGTAAGATCTATTAATAATAAGAATCAAGTTTTTATTTGAGCTTAGTACTTAGTACATTTTGCTCAAATATTTATGTAGCTTAAGGAGAGTCGAGCCTCCGACAGCTACCAGTCAGTCAGCACTTACCTAGCAGTAGCAGTTATCAGGTGGGGGTCACGTACTGGTTATACATCATCTTTAATTTCCGTGCCATGTCCGAGGTATGTATGATAAATAGTTAGATCATCATGAGGGAGGCCGTGGCGGGCCTTAATGATCCCCCGTAATTCTGAGGGAGGCCTTAATTGGCCTTAATGATCCCCCGGAGTGTGCACATTATTGGCTTTTAGGCCCAGGGTCTTTATGACCACCAGATGTCCTAGTTACAGTTTCAGTTCAGATCAGTTCTTATATACTTAAAGTCATGATATTGTTATTAACGATGCTATATAATTAAGTACTGGTCTTTGCGGAGCATAGTGGTTTTGCTCACGCCCCCATTACGTTTTTCAGGTGACGGAGCGGCGCGTGGCGCGTGAGATTTCAGTGGTGGTCGTGGTCATTAGCAGTCTTTTTGTAACGCATCTGCATGTCATTTATTGAACATGTACTATCATTACTATGCGTAGACATATTATGTTTCAGCTTCCGCACATTTCAGACTTAGTATGTATTATGAGATTATCAGACTTATGCATGTATAATGCCTTTATCTCCGTGGTACCTTTATATAACGGATTTGATTAGGTTGCATGTATTTATTTACGTCTGCATGAGAAAGAGTTTAAGTTAGTAGCATCCCGCAAGTTAGTATGAGTATTTTCGAAAATAAAGTTTAAGAGTTTTTCGAAAATAAAAAGCAAAAATTTTACTCTGATTTTATAAATTCTAGAAATAATTAGGCGGGGTGTTACAACAAACCAAGAGGAAAATTTGAAATTTTTTTAAGAGTTAACTATTTATAAATGGGTTGTGCTCAGGAGCCTTCGAATCGGTTCTGAGTTGTTCTAAATGTGTCCATGGTTGTTCCTCATTTTGATATAGTTTCTATTTAAAAGAGTTTGAAACGTGGCTAAATTGATATTAAATAAGTATGAAAACATGTTAGATATTAATTAATTTGTTGTCCCACATCAGATTTATACCAAAGATGTGTAGGATCTTATTAGTATAAATAGGTCTCTGGCCTTTGGGTTACAATTGCACCTTATTCTATTCTCTCATACCTTAGAAAGAAATCCTTAATTGAGAAAATCCTAGTGTGTTATTTAACCCTAGTTGTATTTTGTTGGTGAGTTTAGTATATTTGGTGTTGCAGTTAGCGGTGCCCGGAGATGTAGGCAATATTGGCCAAACTTCATTATCAATTTTTGTGTTCTTTTTCTTTCTCATCTTTTCTTTATTTGTGTTGGCTTATTTTCGTTAGTAGTAGTGCTTGCCATATTTGTTGTAGGGGTATTTTGTTCCGCTGCGCTTGTTGTCCTACCCCAACAAGTGGTATCAGACTAAAGGTTCGTCCCAGGCTTATTCGAAGAGGCTAGCACTGCATTCGGTTTCGAGATGTCCAAAGAGGTCAAGGGCACATCATCTTCTACATTTGTATTTATGTTTCATGATAAATGTGTCGGGTGACCATGATCAAAGAAATCATTTCGTTGAGAGTACATAGAAATAAGCGGAACCAAATTCCGATACCAAACAAACCCGCACGAACCCGAAACGTGATGACGTGCAAACAGCCCAAGCACTTACCCTTGCCTCACGCCGCGCAGCCGCCCCGACACGGACAGACAACTAGGCCTCACGCCCCGCATCGCGGAAGCACCATATGATGGACATAACCATTGTTCTAGGCTGCCGCGCCATGACTCCTCGCGCTGTGAAGATGCTGTTCGTCGCGCCGCGCCTGGACTCCGCGTCGTGAAGGAAGGGCCTGCAGCACCGCGCCATGCTGCCACGCCGTGAAGGTCACGTCCAGAATTCTTCCCCCGCGCCGCGAGTCTGGTGTCGTGCCGTGACAAACACCTCCGCCGCACCGCGAGTCTGGTGTCGCGCCGTGACAAACACCTCCGCCGCGCCGTGAAGCTTGTGCCGTGCCGCTGTGCGGAATTTCGCCGCGCCGCGCCGTGCCTTCTCTCGCGCGTGGTGCATGCCTCCGCCGCGCCCTGCCTGTTCCTCAAGCCGTGGTTGTTGCTCTAAATCACCGAATGCAGTTCTCCTCCGCGCCGCGACGCCCTGCCGCGCTGCGGCACCACCCCCTCTCGCGCCGCGCAGATTCTCCTACGTTGTGGCATATGTTCAATATAAATATATGTATCAGGCATCGATCATAAAGACAACTCTCGACCGGGGGTAAAACCCTAGGTCCCGAAAGACACAAAATCACCCTTCTCCTTCCTCTCTTCTTCTTCTTCATCTTTCACTTTTCTTTTCACCTCTATTTTTTCATTTTAATTCTTCTTCTTCGTTAAGATTAAGCTTGTAACTCATTCAACATGTGGATTTGAGATTAATCGTAAGTTTATTTTCTCTTTTTATTAATTCATGAAAATGGTTAATTTGAAAAGAATGATTGATTGTGTTGAATCGAATTTACGTAGCTAATCTTATTGCTAGGGATAGGGGATGATTGTTCTTGTCTAATTCGTATCTGTCAAACATGATTTGTTCGTTCTTGTGCGAGTTGCTTTGGTTATGAATTGATGAAACCTGCTTGATTGATTGATATAATTGAAGGGTGACACTTCAATCTTGCAATTAGAAATATTTAGATATTGATTTTGTCGAGTTAGGGTTTTGTTGATTCTAAAATGAGTCGGTTAATCACCCTCTGATTTAATTGAGCAATCTTTGGAACCGAAAGGGGAAAAATTGTAGTCTTTGGCTTGCACAAGATAGATGATTTCCTGACGGAATAGTCTATAGATTTTGATTGAAGTACATGCTCTCCTATGTCCCATTCCTTGTTATGTGAGTTATTGGAATCGTACCTCTAGGTCGGCATCGTATGCTCGAACTTGCTCGTCTATGTTCAATCCCTTGTTACGAAGAGTTATTGGGAGCGAACCGCTATATGTTTAAGCGAGAGTGTCAATCTTAAATCGAACAATTAATATCTCGATTTTACGAATAAAACTTGAATTGATTATCCCCGATTCCCCAGCTTCTCCGTTTTTGTTTCACTCTTATTTCTAGGTAGATTTATATTTTCGCATTGTTCTTTATTTCGTAGCTAATAATTCATCCAATATTTATTTGATTAGAGTGTTTAGGATTTTCTTTCATTTTATGTGTTATCAATACCAAAGCTGAATTCCGAACCGCCTTCCTCGTGAGATCGACCCGAGAAACGAATCATTCGATTCGGTGCTCGGTAAATAAAAATAATTTGTACATGTTGTAAATATTTTTACTGGAGTAGAATCGAAAGATTCGGACACCGGGTCGTATCACAAGGAAGGTCAACCGGAATATTAAGCACATTTATTCAAACACGAATAAAAGAAATAAAATTCATAAACATTCTAATCAAAGTTTGGATGGTTTTGAATTATCAACTATTGCAAGAATTAAAATAAATCAAGTAAATGGCAAGTGAACACGTAGAACAAATAAGATTTAACAAGCTAGGGAGTCGGGGATATCCGTATCAGTTCGAAATGCGATTGTGTAGCAGAAGATTGTTCGGTTAAGTGATTTGAATAACTTGCACGCTTAAGTACTCATTCTCAATAACTGTTCGTAACAAGAGAACAAACTTAAACTACAAGTTAACAAGTCACTTAACACCAAAGCAATATAATTACGAACAAGCCTAGTTTAAAAAAAAATTGAAAAATTGCCGCCGAGCCCGCTTAGGAGCGCCTAGGTCCGCCTAGCTTGCCTAGGCGACGCCTAACCGCCTACCCAGCCAAGTCCGCCTAGAAGCGTATAGGGCTGCCTAGGCCCGCCTAGCCGTCTGGCCTATTTTTTCTGCCGATTTGTGTAAATCGGAGGTGCCCGGGCACCGCCTAGGCCGATTTTTAGAACATTGCTTTTATGTATATTTATATGTCAAAATGATATATATAATTTTTAAAATTTTAAAATTAACTATCCGGTTCAACAATTGACCCGATGACTCGGCCGTTGAACCGATGACCCGAAGACCCGCCTGGTTTGATTTCGGAGTGTAAAATATAATTGGAATCAAAAAACTATTAACTATTTTGTTTGTACGTAAATTTCATCCATTGTAGTCCATCTACCTTATTATAGGCTTATAGCCCATCTATTTCACACAATGGACGAAAATTTCTCGGCCCATTAGCCTATTGTGGACGCACTTTGCCGCCATCACTTCTCCAGCGCGCCAAAAAAAAAAAAAAAAAATGGCTTAAAAATAAAAAATTTCAAAATGCATTGCGCTCCTTGCCAGCCTGGCGATCCGCACCTTCAACTGTCAGCCAATCAGATTCGACTAACGCATTCCCTATATAATAAATGTCCCCCTCCTCACTGTAACACGCACTCGTCACCACCAAAAACACGCACACCTTCGATTTCCTTGCACAAAACCTAGGGTTTCTGAACGCAGCCAGAAAATGAGCTCCAAAGCGTCGACGAAGGGCGGCCGGGGCAAGCCCAAGTCTTCTAAATCCGTTTCCCGATCGTCCAAGGCCGGTTTGCAGTTCCCTGTCGGGAGGATCGCGCGTTTTCTGAAGACCGGAAAATACGCCGAACGCGTCGGCGCCGGCGCTCCGGTTTACCTCTCCGCTGTTCTGGAATACTTGGCCGCTGAGGTGTGTTTTCAGTTTTAACCCGTTGATGTCGTATTGTTCTTGTTTGCCTTCCCTTTTTTTTTCCCCTTGTTATTTTTTGTAATACATTAGCCTTTTGATGGATTTGATTTGTTGAACGTTTTTCAGCAAGGAAAAGAGATTGACGCTGTTATTGTCCTGTAGATTGTACTTTTTAATAATTCACTTCTTGATAGATAATTTGTGCTCTGTGAGATTTGATTGTGTGATTAAAGAATAGATTAATGGATATGAAAATTGATAAAAAAAAGGTAGTACCTTTTCACATGTTTGTTGGGTTTATGAAATTATATTTGTGATTTTCTTTTGGTGTTTAGTTCAATTAATCGAACTTTTTGTCGAATTTTGCACAGGTATTGGAGCTTGCGGGGAATGCAGCAAGGGACAACAAGAAAACCAGGATTGTGCCAAGGCACATACAGTTAGCAGTTAGGAATGATGAGGAGTTGAGCAAGCTGCTCGGCAGCGTGACCATCGCTAATGGTGGTGTGTTGCCGAACATTCACCAAACTTTGTTGCCCAAAAAAACTGGTGGGAAGGGGGAGAAGGAGATTGGATCAGCATCACAAGAGTTTTAGGATTTTGATTTGATGGGTGTGTAGTATTTATCGAATGTGTTTGATTGGTGTTCTTTTAAATCGAAATCGAGAAGTTTTTATACACCATTTGGTTTTGGCTTCTGAATTTGACATTGGTTAGTTTGTTTATCGAATGTATTTATCGAATGATGAGTTATGAATTGAATCAAGGTTGTTTGTGAATCTCTGTTTTTTTTTTTTTTTTTTTTTTTTTTTTTTTTTTTTTTTTTTTTTTTTTGTAAAAAAATTAAAACAAATTAAATTTGAATGAATAAATTGAGCTTTAGCATGCTCATGATTTAACAAATTGTGTTTGTTTGTGAATATAGGTCCCTATGTAAAACAAAGCACAAATTTTGAATGAATTAATTGAGCATAATATGTTTGAATGAGCAAATTGTGCCACTTTGTGAACATATCTCTGTTTAAAAAATAAAATCAATTTTTGAATGGTTAAGTTAAGTATAACACATTCATGAATGAACAATATGGGTTTGAATAGTTTGTCTATACTTTTGAATTCATATAAGTTAAAGTTGATTTGAGTTGAGCTTGGCTTGACCTTTAAGTTTGTTTAAAATTTTGTGCTTGGGTTGAGCTTTTAGTTTGTTTGAAGTTGTTTATTAAACAAGCATGCTCTATATTTTTTTTCCTATTCTTTATTCACTTTTATATTTTCTGTTCTTTCCCTTTTTTGTTTTGATAAGCAATTCCATTTTTGTCATTTTTTTTTTTTTTTTTGCTTTCATATTATTTTGAAATAATTCATATTTTCTGTTCCTTCTGCTAGAAAAATTTTGTCAATACTATTAACTTATAGATTTTTGAAAGTTTTCAATCCCTACACATACAATTAAATAAATTGAAAAATATACATTTAGAGTTTAAAACGTGTTAGAACACAAATTAAAATAATTTATGTTGCAACAGCATAAGAGTTGTGTTGATACTCAATTTGACTCTGATTAATTAAATGATCAATAAAATAATAAAATAGAGTCCGATAACCAAGGAGCTGAAAATTCATAATAAATAAATATACAAGAAAAAAGGTACTCCAAGTTGATCGTCTAAAGGCCGACCAGACCCTCAGATGACAAGTTCGCCCGCTACGGAGCCGGGTAGAATTCGAGGTGATCGGCCGACCGGAATATGCTAAATAAGATGGACGCCAGTCAGAACCGTCAAGAGTCATTGGATCCCACGATGACTATATCACATTAAATAATGGTGTACTATTATTTATTTATTTATTTTTATTGCCCACATGCATAAAAAGTGGAAGATGTATAAATATATATGTAAAGAGGAGGAGAAAGAGTGGAGGATTCATTCTCTTCTCTCCAACAACACAAGAAAGATGAGAATTCTCTCAAAATAAGAAAGAGAAAAACACCATTTTTCTTCATTTTTTCTACAAGAAAATCGATTATTTTTCAACGGTTGATCGTCCGATTTTTGACATCAACAAGTTGAAATAACGAAAGCACAACAAAATATAAAAACTCTTCGAGGAGCATCCCACTACCCCTCAAAACTCTTTCATTGATGACTCGATTGTGCACACGTGTATAGTTTTGGATTTACAACAACTAGAACTCCTTTATAGCCTAGCCACAACTATACTCGAATCTACCAACTACTTCTCTGGCCACTTCTCCTATATTAAACACTCTCGATTCCCTCGAGCAAAACTCAGTACTTAATCCCTAAGTACTAATCACAAAAGTGTTTGAGTAAAACCAAACAAAACTAACTCAAAATAGTTTAAGTGTTCAGACGTTGTAAGAACATCAAAACACTGAACTGCAAACTAAAAGGAAAATAACGAAGAGCTTGAATTCTCAATTGAAGCTTTATTGCTATGAATAATGGGAATTTCAGTAGCTTTCAATTGATTTTCAAATAAGGTTTATATAACATCCTTAGGCGTGGACTTCTTCATAAGTAATTCCCTTATCTCTTGATCTTCTTTCCAAATATAATGTAGAAACATGAAAAGCGAATATCTTCTCTCTTTCACTTGCCTTGATCTTTTTTCTTTTCATGCACATTCATTCTTCTCCATACACGTCCGACATCCTACAAAGAATAACATAATAAGATCATGCAAATATTTCCTAAACATATTAATTATATGAATATTCAAAATACACATATATATAAATACAAATAAAAGAACTTCTCTTTTGTTCCACGTGCTTGCAGGAACATATCTTCAATATATAATTTTTGAACTTGTTGGCAAAAATAAATCAATTATAAATGTTGTATATTTTGTATGGTAAAATTATATATCTAATTAAATTATAAATTAAGTATACTACACACAGAGTAACTTCCTGCGGGAAAGATTGAAAATAAAACTTAAATGTTATTGTACTTAATTGTTACTTTACTGCCAAAATATAAATAAAAACTTGATGTTAACTTAAGACTATAATCCTGAAATGATTCCGTGAGGATTTTTAGCCATTAGATACAGTACTGTATCTAATGGCTAAAAATCCTCACGGAATAATTTCGTGACGGGACTGTAGTCTTTTCCATTAAGCCTGTCACATATATAGTAACTGCGAGCCTTTATGAAAAAAAAAATGTGGAAAATGGATAAAACGTTCTCTTATCAAAATAAATAAAAATTTATATATTTAATTAAAATTTATATTTTTAATTATATTAAATTTAATCGTTATATTGTTGTTTTATATGTAATCATAATCTTGAATATGTTTCTGCCTTTATTTGACAATGATGGATTGTTGTAGTATTTAATTATTTATAAAATATTTCAATATGTTACTATTTTCTTTTTCCCACTTAAGATGACATTAAAATTTATGGAAGATTGTGAGTTTCCATTAGCCCCACAATTGAGTTTTTTTTTTTTTAATGGGAAAATAACCAAAAAAAAAATAAATAAAAAATCTCCATTCAATATGATGTATTCTTAGTTATTTAAAAACAATTTTCAAGAGAATTATTAAGTAAACAGTTTAGAAGACAAAAATATGTGGCAATATATTGAAATTGTTTTAGGGAAGCAAGAAGTAGAAGACACTAGAATGCAAAAACTAAAGCAAAAGACACTAGAAGAATGCAAAAACTAGTAGATGGAGAAAATTGACTTGGTATTAAAATTAATTGGAGACCAACTACTTATGTTTGAAATGTTCACAATTTGACATGTTATAAGTCTATTTTATAGTTTAGTTAAGGTATGAATGCTGAATATCATTTTTGACATTGCACCAACAAAATACTGAAATAGCAGCCAAATAATAAAAAATTCATATAAAAAAAATTCAGTTGCACTAGTATCACTAATCTATAAATAGGGAAATGCTACGGTCATATTACGGTACCATCTCGTCGGGTGTTTTAACCGTTGGATATACATGTAGTTAGTATAAGATAGATGATCCAGCGATTAAAACATACGACGAGATGGTACCGTACGAAACCATAGCATTTGCCTATACAAATAAATCGAGCAACTTTTCAAATTTATCAAAAAAAAAAAAATAAATTACTTAATACATTTTATGCAATAAATAAAAAGATTCATATGTAATTAAATAGTTACGTACGGTTTATTTTTATCAATCTTTTTAAAAATAATACAATTATCTAACTATTTTAATATTATATGGATACAAATATAATATTTTATTTACATCTGTGCAAATGCACATGATCGAATACTAGTTTTGCTAAAGACAAAAACTAATTTAAACTTGAATTTGTGTATAGATTGATTTTAAATAGACTATATTACTGAATTTAATAATGTAAAAAACTTAAACTTAACTTCGATTGAATGATAATCAAATTTTAGGTTGGTGTATTCAATTTCAATATTTAGAGACTTCTTAAAACTTTCAAAATTCTGGTGTAATCAACTAGAAGTTTTAGAGATTTCTGAAAAGTTTACCTGTATTTAGTTGAGACTTTTAAAGACTTTTAAAATGTCATTAATAGTCAAGATATTCAATTAAAACTTTCTGAGAGTCTCTATAAATCACATAGTATTCAAAATATGAAGACTTTATGAGACTTTTTAAGTTGTGAGACTTTTAGAGACTTTTGTAACAAAATTACTAAGAGAAAGTCCCAATAGAAATCTCATCAATATTTATGGGATTTTGCTGACTTATGTGAATCTTCACGCTTTTTTTTTTTTTTTTTTTTTTTTTTTTTTTTTTTTTTTTTTTTTTTTCTAACACGACTTTGTATCTCATATCACTTTTATGTCTGTTATTTTACTCATTTATTATGATACCTTGTATAGTTTAGATTTTCATTACGTATATTAATGTGATCCTTTATTTTATATATTTCTATTATACTTATTTTATGTATGTATATAATTATTCTCTCATTTTGCTATCTTGTGAATTTGATTTTTCAAAGGTTAATTGTTTCCATAATTTGCATTGAAAATAATTTATTTGGTCTCTCTTTTTATTTGTAAATTTTTATTTTTAAAAATTAATAAAAAAAATTTCTATATAGTTTATTTGTTGATATTGAATTATTTGAATATTATTGATAACATTATAAGATACGATTAGCGTTTTTCGACAATGTTTGTATCTTATAAAAATATATCCTAATAATATTTTTCTAATATTGCAACATTATGCAAAAAAATATAAAAAAATAACAACAATCAGTAATTAGATAACGTATCATAATTTGGGATGATTATAAGTGTCATTGTAGCAAAGATGTTTAATACATATTTGAGCTTGTGCTGCTTTTAACAAACAAATATAAGGCCTTGTTCGAGTTCGACTCGTTGAAGATCAGATCAATTTGCTCGCTTAATAAATCTAAAACACCCTACACAATTTGTTCGTGAATAACTCATTTTGCATAACAAATGAGTTGATTCGTAAATGTTTAGAGACATTTTTTTTTTCATTTATTCTTCTTGATATTAGTTATTATACAACGTTATTAATATTTCATTCAAACATAATATTATAACTACAAGT